AACCTACATTTTCATAAAAAGCAGCATCAGAGATAAAATAGCCTGCATATATTGACACTTTCATTAGATATTATTGGAAGTGCTGGCCCAGTTTAGGTTCAACCCTTCTAACTATTATGGAATTTTTAGGTTTTATTATTGTCTCTTCAACTTTACTGTTTAAAATGTTGAATTTCCGATATCTCCAGTTTTAATATTTCCCAGGTTGCAGAGTATGTTACTAAGTAAAATTTATGAATTAACTCTATAAAAGAAAATCTAGTTTTAAAGAAGTACCACTTTGACCGAGATATTATTATAAAAATAAAGGGAATTCTTTTGAAAATTGCCAAGAATGTCATAAATTAATATATTTAAACATGGCAGACTTGTTCAAAAACTTGAATGTGTTTCTTATATTAAGTCTATTGAAATAAATATTCCAAATTATTCCCTGTAACTTCCATAAAGGCAGAACCATTTTTGAGTGGTACAGATAAGTATGGTAGGGATCAAAATAAAATTCCTACTATCCAGATACAACAAAGTACAAGCAGTATGTGTAATTTATCAGACTCGTTGTTGCATTTATACAGCTTATGTTTTAATGTAATTCTTTCCAATTCTGTTAAATATTACATTTAGTATTTCTATTAATAAAAATGATATTTTACCATAAAAAAGAATCCAATTAAACATTAAACTATATTTTGCAAAGTACATTGAAAACTCTATTTAAATATTCATAAATTTCTACAACATTTTGAATATCAATTTTGAATAAAGTTAACTTAAATTTCTGACAATTTTCTTTCATTTCTGAAATTGTAAAATATTGATTGAATGTTTAAAGTAATAAAGAACATTTTGAAAAATATCACAATACCCATTAAAATATTCAAAAGTTGGATATTGTCTTTGATTAGAACGTTCAATAATGGAGGTTATATCTTCAATAAACTGTAAATGTCATTTTTTATTAATCATTTAGAGAGAGAGAGCAAACAGACAACATTACATTCTTCTATATTACATGTTATAAAAATCAACACACTGTATAAAAAAATCTATTAGTTTTGCAACATTTTGGCACATTATATAAAATTTGAAAACACCAAATTCATTTTTTCATATTTTATACTAGAATATATTGAATGTTTAAATCCAAATTGTTGACAAACAATTCAATGTTCTCTATGTTTAATATCAATTATATTTTCCCATCTGCTATTATGAAATACTTGTAATAAACCCACAAAATTTTCAAATGAATTATTCAATTTTTTTGAAATTTTTCATTTTTGCTTAACAGACAATTCTTTTCACCTTATTTTTTTGGGACAAAACTGGAATTATTTAATTTAAAAACCCTTTGTTTTACAACAAAACAGTATTCAAAACTAATTACTTTGTAAAAAAAAGAATGAAATCATCGGATGAGGATGAATAGTCAATAGATCTGTTTAGGAGTTTTTCATTCATATTTTATAAAATATTATATAGTATTAAGATATCAAGAATATTACTTGCATCGAGAATCATCATTGCATAGTTCAAGACATTCCTCTAATAATATTAAAATCTTACTAATGAATGTACTTCCAAGAATTTGCTGATTTTCTATTTTGATATATTAACATGCTAAAAATTTTAAGTAATTTAATCCTTTTAGAGAGAGAGAGAGAGAGGGTAGAGAGAGGAAGATGTTGTATTAAAACTTACTGCAAATCCCTTGAATTATCAATTGATAAAACGTTATCTGATCCATTAAAATTTAATAAAATACATTCAAGTTTATCGTTCAAAATGATGATTGAACTGCTTAATGCAGGAGAGATAGAATTTAATAGCGTTCTATTGAAAAGGAAGAACAACTTTCTTGCAATTTGTAGAAACTTCATTCTCCTCTTTGAGAATGTAGGAAATAAAGTTTAGTTCCTAGTTTTATAAGATATTTAATATATAGGTCATATCCGTTAATTATTGAAATAGATGCTTTGGAAAAGAGTTAAATATTTTCTTTATAGCAATTAAAACTACAGTCCCAATAAGAAATCACTGCCAGGTTTCTTCATAGAGTGGAAAGAGTGAATTATTTAACTATCAGGACTTGCTTAATTAACTCTTTTTGTTTGGAATGAAGGACAATTTATTAATACAACCGAATTTATAGATAGACCTCATTAAAAAATTTTTCTTACTCTACAGTAATTTTTATTCACAAATTTTTAACCAGGGAGAAAAATTTTCAAAAATCAAGTCTGTTCCAGTAAGAGGAATTGTTTGCAATTTGAAATTTGTCAATTTGGTAAATGTAGATGTAATTTACATTATGGACAAGATTTCTGTGATAATAGTAGTACAGAGTTACATTTTAGCCTATTGTTATAAAGAGTTTTATTGCAAAAGTTTAAGGTTTGCATATACTTTTTAATAAAAATGCAGAGCAAGAAATTACAACTTTTAAAAAATATTTAAATCAACCAGTCTATCCAACGATTGCTGTTCAAAGAAATTGTAGTTATTATACAACAAGGTTCTGTTGAACATCAATCAGTAAATCATGTGAAATGTCATTTAATGGGCAATTGTGAGCTTAATTGTGAGCTTCTATCTGCATAAAACCAGACCTTTGAAAACAAATAAGGAAACACCCATATCCAGACTTGTAACAATAAAATCCAGAATTACATTTTGATGTTGTAATTGATGAATCTCTGTAGAATATTTTTTGTTTTTATATTTTGAGTGTTTAATTTAATAAAATACTTTTACTTCAAATTCTAAGAAGAGAATTTTGAGGAATATCACAAGGATTGCCATAAAAACAAAGTGATAATTGTCAAACAAGTTTTAAAGAGAAAAACTTGAAAGAGAAGGTTGTTCATTGTGACAATTAAGAATCAGCAATATTTTTTGTCCTTTTTTATTGTTGAAAATTCCATTCAACAAAATATATGCAGTTTTTTCAAGTTTTTGCTTAGATATTTAGTAGTGTAGATAAAATTATAATAAAATTTTGTATATTTGTAATGTATTGCTTTGTAAATGAAAAAAGAGAGAGAAAAGAGCCAATATATATTTTTAATTTGATTTTCTTAAATACGCCTCTATTTGCAAAGATTTCCTAATTGTTTATCCAAACAGTTGCACATCATGGTTAATTTGATCCTTTCAGAAGACAACAAGATATTTAACATGAATATAAAATTTGTTTTTCTATAAAACAAAATTAATCTTTAAAGTTTTGAAAGTTAAAGATTTTGTTGTAGTTTGAAAAAATTGAAAAACTGACCATTGTCATCCAATTGTCTTTGTATTTCCTACTTTAATATTTACACAAATTGGTAGTTTTTTTAATAATTCTATTAAAAAAACGATATTTATAGATATTCATAAACAAAACTCACAAAAATTGCAAACTTTAAAATAAAAGAGTGGAAAAAAGGAAAAGAATATTAAAGGAATAATAATTGCTCCTAGTGTGTAAGTAACAACTTATTTTCTGAAGATTAATTGCATTGGGTAAATGACAATGTAATATCTTTCAACAGTTATTATCAATAGGCTAAATAGTCCCATAATTATGGATAAAAAACATACTCACTGCCCAAATTTGAACTTTCGGAAAAAACACAAAGATTTTTCTTTAATGAATGTTTAAAGTTAGTATTAGAATTGCTGTAAAACACAGCTAAGAATTAGGAGTGTTAATTTCTCTTTTAATTATCATTTTGAAATATGCATCTTTTTTCAATTCACCATGATTATTGATATCATCGTCAGTGTCATCACTATCATAATTTACAATTCTTTTTTTCTGTCTCATCTTCAGTATCTCCCTTTTCATCATAACTCTCCTCATCTTCTTCAACTTGTTCTTCTTTCACCTTTCTAACATCTCCCTCAGTTTTGCTAACTTACATTTCAATATATTGAACATCATCATCATCTTCTTCAAGTTTTTCTTTTTCTTCTTTTACCAAATTGTTGTTTTGCTCTTAAGATTCTTGTTCCATTTCTTCTAAATCAATAATCTTGTCATTTTTTTTAGCTATATGTAGGTGATTATGAAATTATCTTTCTTCCAGTCTTACTATTGGTAGATTTTGAGAGAGTAGTGAATTATACGAGACTATTCAAAGCTATTCATTATATTCATTATCTGACACAAAGATAATTCATCTGTTAAGAAACAATAATATAGAATTAATGGAAAAAAAACATCTTAAAGCTCCTGAAAAAGAAGAAATTTCAGAAGATGGGTCTAGGGTCAGACAACTTGAAATAGAACATAGAAAAATATAAGGAAATGAAAAAGCAAAATCTATTTTAGACAATTTTAAGATGGATATAGCTTCAAAGGAATTTTAAAAACAACTGAAGGAAGAGCAAGATAAAAGGAAACTACTTGAAGAAAGATTAAGAGAAGAGGAGAGTAGAAGGAGGCCATTTGAAGAGAAACGAGCAGAAGAGGAAGAGCTGCTAAAGGCCAGAAAAAGAGCAAATACGAGAAAAGAAAGAGAGAGAGTGAGAAAAAGAATATGAATAAGATAGGAGAAAGGAAGAAGAGAAAAATGAAATATGAAACAAGAAAGCAGCCAACTGTTTGCTCCGATTAAAAAATAAATATTTCCCTTTAGAAATCCTAAATAATTGTAATTTTCTTATTTTATCTGTTAAGGGAGTGGTTGATTTTTGACAGGTAACTCTTTCTATCTCTTTCTATCTACCTCTCTAGCTCTATTTCTATTTATTAACTTTCAAAGGGAGAGAGAATAAAGGCTGTGGAAGATTATACAGAATTTATAAGAAGCTGTTTTTGATCCCAAGGTAGGGGGAGCAAGTGAAAACTAAACTATAAAATACAGCAACTATTGCAGTTTAAATATTTAAACAATCGCTATTCCATCGGAGTTATCTAATTGTCTAAATAAGTGTGAAGACGACAAAGAAAGATAAATTCAATAATTTATCAGAGTGATAAATGGGAAATTAATATAAAAAAGCTAATAATGTATTATCTTTCTCGATTTATTGTTTCATCTTGTTTTGCTGCAACAGCAATCCGTCCAGACTTTTATTTTACTGTGAGTTCAACCACTGGTTGAACACAGACACAAAGAGTCATTTTTGACAAGCTATATACAATGTTATATAAAGAAGAGAACGGTTACGATCGATATCAAGTCAAATTTTGAATTTCACAAACTTCAATATCGTTTGACAAAGTTGTCCATAGAGAAACATATATATATCTTGAATAACTACTGCAAGTGAAAGATGTCGGCGTATCTTGATTACACAAGCTTATCTTTCCAATAGAAGTGTTCACATAAGGATGAATTTCAAAAACGCTCTCTTTTCCAATGGTGAAATTTATCTTTTCAGTATAGTCGAGTTTTAATTTGACAAATTTAGTTTTAAATTTAATACAAGTAGTTGAGTCGTTATCGTTTAAAAATGACGAATTGTAATTCTTACAGTAAGAATTCAATATTAACGGACTTTTAAGTTTTAATATCATGGAACAACTAAGTGGACCGATATGATGTTTTGCATATTCTTGTCCGCCATTAATATCACCATACCTTGTCTGTATAAGTGGTAATCTGTGAGGTAACACTGAAATTTCACCAGACAGATCATAACTTTGACTATATCCTTGATTTTTTCCAACGTTTTTGCAGTTCTCCATACGATTTTGCAGTTTATCACAAATTTCGCTTGTTAAACATTGACATATGCCATCATTAAAATGACGTAATTTGTACACTTTTCCATCCAAAAATGTAAATGAGATAAATTTATCATGAACATTTCGCAGAGTAAGAGACATTTGTTGAGAACAAATTCCAGAACTTTTAATAAGGACTCTTAATTCTGTATTTGTTAAATTTGCGTATTTGATTTTGATTGATAAAGTGCCAGACTGTACAGTTAAACGTTTGTTTTGTTCAACATCATTTCCAATTTCCGTTATAATTTCATCTTCAGCAGTTAAAGAACAAGTTATACCAGCTATCGTTCCATTAGGTACGGGCTGAATTGAATACATCGAATCTATAAAATTATTCGATTCAAGAGCGTCCTTGCAATTTCGGTAAATTGATTCCAAGTTTGAAAATTTAACTGATCCAAGCAGATTTAGAATTATAAGAAAGTAAATCATATTTTCAGCTAGGAAAAGAGAAGAGAGAGATAAAAGTAATGAGACAACTGTAAAAAAGATATTCAGCTTTCATTCAATATTTAAAAACTATATCAATAAATAAAATTTGAGATTTAATAATGTATTTTTCTGTATTTATCGCTTTAGATTAAATTTTTCCATAAAATGCCAAAAACAAAATAATTAATGATCTATCTGCCTTTCCTAGAGAGCATCTTACAAATGAAAATCT